TATTATTAATTTTCGCTTTTCAAGTGACAAATAAATAAAATTCACTTAGGAAATCTCTTATTTCCTATTCGTCGAGTGATCTAATCGAAACGATGCATTTAAATTCCACCTTGCAAATTTCACCGCGAGAATAGATTGATCGTTTCTTAATATTTCGAACGAAAAAGATCGCTTGTTAAAAAATCGGTTGGTTCCCAACAGTTCACAACGATTCGTCTCGAAGGCACGAAAGGTTAATAAATCGATTCGTTAACTAAATTCTTTTATATATATTTACAACACTTTGTTTCTTATATGTATATATATATTTCTACTCTAAAAAAAAAAGAACATCGAAGTATCGGAGTTGTTCGAGTACGTTGAAAAATTTCGAATATTTCAGGGAAGGGGGAATCACCGAATTGTTTCGATGTTTCAACGATCGTCCGCAACGCCATATTGACGCCACCGTGACGAAAAACACTTTGAATATTTAGATACCCACGAGTACGTATATAAAAGAATCGTTTGACTATTCAAAGCGATTAATTAATATCATTTATAAAATCGTTCAGTATCCGAATATTCGAAATTGCACGAAATCCTCGAATCAATCAATGTCTTTCAAGAGGACGAAGGTGAAAATTGAGTGGAAATTGGGAGAGGGTATGAGGAAGAGTTGTTCGAAAAAATCGAAACGAGCATCCGCCTGAATTCCGCACGTGGCCAATAAAAACTGTTTTTCAGTAACTAACCTGTCCAACAACTTTGCTCCCATACAAAAAAAGCTCTAACTCTGGTTCTCACTACGTTTTTTTTTTCATCATTTTTCAATTTTTTATCAGTTTCTTGGTTTATTCCCGTGTGTCCTATAAGTTTTATAATGCGTACGATAACATTTTCTAATAATGATGGTCCATTTCGTTTCACAGCGTTTTCCAACAACTTCAATAATAGTCTCTGAGTTCTTAACTACGATATAATCGCCCCGTCGCTTTACGTATTTGCAAATAGAATATTTTTTTCGTTCAACTCTCTTGCATAGGGCACAACCGTACGATCAATATTAGAAAAAATAAATTTCCATCTCTTTATTTAAAAAGTAATTTCAATTGGTTTAACTCAATTGGTTAGATTACGTTCAAACGTGTATGAAGAGTGAACCTGATATATAACGTCACCACTTCGTCTTACTCTACTATTTGCTATAGTAGACCAAGGGAAATATATATATATATATGTATAACAGTTAATAAATAAGTAAATAATCTCTGATTAACAAGTTAGAATTGATGATATAGTTCAACAAGATGGCCAAATAGATGTATACATATATCACCTAAAATGGTATTTCTTTCATATCGATACCTCGGTTATGCCCAGAACAAGATCGATACACATCGAGTTTGCTCGCGCGTGTATGTGTGTATGTGTGTGTAACTTACGCATACTTCATCGTCATATTAAAAATATACATTAAAATGGTACGCACAATTGTGTCGTTAACGTACACCATTTAACAAATTCCCTACCTTAAGAGGTACCAACTACGTTATTTTCATTTATTTTTTTTTTCACGTGGGTGTCTTACAGTAAAATAGATCGGTAAGCAAATTGTAATCCTTGCCCATTTTACGAGACCGTGTGTACCGGTGGATCGACGGGTTAGAACGATTTCTCTCAAGCAGTCTGTTATATTAAGTTATACCTAAAATCGGTTAGACAGGTTAATTGTAGATGCATTGTGAAGAGAGAATATTATATGCTTCATAATTCTGTATGAACGTGTATAGACGAGTTGATAATTTTGGATTTTGTGCATTGAGCTAGGAAAAATTGAACGTATGCACACTATTGATTCCCATAAGTTTGAGGTGTTCTTGGTCTTTCTATACTATAAATTGAATTTTTTAATTATAACTATTATCTATGTTTAGTAATCAAATGAAGAAAGAATTAATAAAATCTTATGTACATGGTTACTGATTACAAAATTAAATTTTCTGAAATATAAAAGAAATACAATTACAATATGTTAAAAACTATATTAAAGGGACACTATATAGAGTAACATATATCATGAGTTGGTTTTTTTGAACAAAGCAAAGAAGATTGTAAGAGATGGTCTCAAACTTATGATCAATAGTGCGTTTGCTATTTATAATCTCTTGTGCCAAAAATACTTGTTAAATCTTTGTGGCATTTCAAGTATCATTTTTCCTATTGGTTAAGGATATGAAAAAAATTTGTAAAAGTTTGTGCAGATCGCTGTCTTATACAAACAGATGAAGCACATAATAACACTGCTGAGAAATGGTCGTACAATATCGAGTAATTGATAATATAATTAATAACTAATTATATTATTCAATGATCCACCTGTAGCGACTTAAGATCTGGAACCGATGCAATCGTATCGCAGATTATCTTTCAAGGATTTACTTCAGGCATGTGTACACTTAAGTTCAGATATTATATATATATATATACTTTTTTTTTTAATACATTAAATCTTCCTTTTTTCGTTATGAAAAATAACAATTTCTTTATACTTTTTTTCTTTGATAAAAAAGTGTGTTGGCTAAGAGATTGCACTTTGTGATCATCTTAAAAATTTGTGATTAATCATTAGTGACTATACATTATATCTTATGTTTCGCACACCGATTGTTCGTACAGTCATCAGATACGTTTCTAATTGTAACGTTAGTAAAGAAACAAATTAATATCGAAGATTATACGACTCTTCATTTTTTTTTCCTTTCCTTGTTTAACGTACGTATATATAATCTTCGGTTACAATATAATCAAGACTGACTTGCCAGGTTGTCAATTCGTCGATAGAACGTTGTAAAACAAAGTCTACAATTCCGCTAATTTGTAACATGTAGATACCATTAAAATTTGTATCCCTAACCTCTTTCCTTTCTTTCTCACTCTGTGTCTATTGTTTTTTTTCCTCCTTTTAAATTCATTTTTTTTCTATCGATTACATTTGACACATACTTCTCTTTTTACACGTAACAGGACGACGAGTGTCACCTTGTGCGGACAACATGGGCAAGTCAACCTGAAGGAGGGCCACAAATGGTGCCAGGCACTATTTATTCATATACCGTTTGTGTATTCCATTAATTACGTTAATTAATTACAGTAATGTACCATATACGACTCTTGAGAGCAGCTCACATCAGGATACATCCTGAGATTGAGTAAAGCATAGGCTGAGACCATCCCAAAGCGATTTAACTTAGGAAGAGACTTCTGCATTTTACAATTGCAACCCTATCTTGCCAACAGATTACAGATTTTACTAATAAAGCATTTTTTTAATAAAATGTACTAATGGGTATTCATTCTCTGTACTTCATACTGTAATTTGACGGTGACCCATTTGTTGTAGAAAATGTGTGCAATGAAAAATTGAATCTAAATGCTGTTCAAATAAATCTGTGTTAATTCTCCATTGATCACTGTTTTGAAGATATACATGTTTGCAGAGACGCAAATTCTCGTTGTGTATGACTTAGGCGTGAAGGGTTGCAAAGTATCTTCCTTCCGTGTTACCTCTTTTTTTTTCTTCTTCATATCAAATGTGCAAAATACTTGTGGAAAATGTATATAACGTTATGTATGTATATATACATATGCGAGTTCGTGTGTATATACCTTTCATTATTATTATTTTGTTTTTAATAATCAACACTATATAATATGCTTATTTCACATATAATATGCACATATCTCGTCTATTACCTCGTAATAATCAATATATTAATTTCCGATCGTGTTCTCTACAGAATATCGTAATTATTTTGAGTACAGCAGCCGATCAATCATTTATCGTTTTTTATTAGCGGACATAGACCGTTAATTAGTTCGCTGAAAAAAAAGAAAAAAAAAAAAGAAAGAGGGAAAGCTCCACTATTTAAAAACAAACCGACGACATTATAAACGTATCGTTAAAACGAATATTAGACGATCTAAGACACATAACTGTTCCGTATGTGTTATCGTAATAAAAGTTGCACGATCCTTTGATCATTCAAAATAAAAGAGTACGGTTTCCAGAGCAAAGAAGAAAAAAAGATATTGCGATTACAAAAAAAGAGAAAAAAAAAAATTGTAGGATAAAATTTATACACTAATTGAATATCATTATTCTCTGACTAGGCATTC